TACACGCCTCAACTCAAACACTCACTTACATCACCTAACATCTTTATTAACAAACTAAACGTCTTAAGACATAACTACTCCAAATTACTAAACTATTTCATTAACCCTTAACGCCTTTAACTACCCACTCCATTACTACACACTCCTTTAATAACAACTAAGCGCCTATTCCGACTAACTACCCATGACAATATCTCGTAATTAACCATACACGCCTGTACAATAAACCACCTTCCGCATTAACCTACGACATGATCCTTTTGATTAACCACCTTCACGCCCGTTTAAGCACTAACGCTACTCCTTTACTAACAATATTATTAACCACTAACGCCCTTTAACTAACCACTCCCTTATAACAATCTAATAAAACTAACGCCGCTCAAACTAACCACTCCGAATTACAATAACATCTTATTAACCAAACAGCCCTTACACTAACTACTACCATTAACTGACATCTATATTAACAAACTAAACGCCGTTAATACCTACTCCCATTACTAAACATCTATATTTTAATACAACTAACGCGCCTCAACTAACCCTCCATTACTCACACATCTTCTTTAATTAACATAACGGCCTTACAACTAACTACTCCATTCAACATCTTTATTAACCACTAACGCCTTAACTAAACTACCCATTACTAACATCTTTATTAACCACTAACCACCTTCTAACTAACCACTCCATTACTAACACATCTTTATTAAAACTAACGCCTCAACTAACCACTCCATTATTAACATCTTTATTAACCACTAACGCCTTTAACTAACTACTCCCTCACCAATATCTTTATTAACACAACTCAACGCCCTTCAACGTAACCCACTTCCATTTACTTAACATCTTTATTAACCACTAACGCCTTTAACTAACCACTCCATTTTACTACATCTTTATTAACAACTAACGGCTCTCACTAACCACTCCACTCATATACTCAAAACACTCATTATAACCACTAACGCCTTAAGCTACAACTACTCCACTGTACTAACATCTTTATTAACCACCTAACGCCTTTACTAACTACTCCATTACTACACTCTTTATTAACAACTTACGCCTCAACTAAACCACTCCCATAACTAACACATCTCTATTAACCACTAACGCCTCAACATAACCACTCCATTTACTAACATCTTTATTAAAACCACTAACGCCTTTAACTAACTATCCATTACTAACAGTCTTTGAATAACACACACGCCTGTAACAAACTACTCCATTACTAACATCTTTATTTAACCACTAACGCCTTTAAACTAACCATTCCCATACACTAACAGCTTTATTAACCACTAACGCTTGTAACTAATCCACTCCATTTATAACCTACTTCCATAACCACCTAACGCCTCTAACCTAACATACTCCATTACTAACATCTTATATTAACCACTAACGCCTTTAACTAAACCCACTTCCATTATTACCATCTATATTAACCACTAACGCCTATTAACGTAACCTCACTCCATTACTAACTCTTTATTAACCACTACGCTATTTTAACTAAACCAACTCCATTACTTAACATCTTTATTAACAACTAACGCCCTAACTAAACACTCCATTACGTCATCTTTATTAACAAAACTAACGCCTTAAAACAACCACCTCCTTTACTAACATCTTTATTAACAACTAACGCCTCTTAACTAACCACTTCATATTACTAAACATACATTTATTAACACACAACGCCTCAACTAAACCACTTCCAATTACTAACATCTTATCATATACAATAAACCGCCTCAACTAACACTCCATTTACGTAAACATCTTTATATTAACAACTAACGCCTCTAATAACTACTCCATTACTAACATTTTATTCAACCACTAAACGCTTAACTAACCACTCATTACTAACACTTTATTAACAACTAACGCCTTAACTAACCACTCCATTACTAACATCTTTAATTAACAACAAACGCTTTAACTAACTACTCCATCTACTATACTTTATTAACCACAACGCCTTTAACAACTACTCCATTTAATAACATTCTTTATTAACACTAACGTCTTTAACTATACTACTCCATTACTAACAATCTTTAACTCTAACAACTACGTACTCTTTAACCGCAACCATAACTACCATTTACTAACATCTTTTATACACAACTAACGCTTACTAACTACTCCCCATACTAACATCTTTATTAACAACTAACGCCTTTTAACTAACCACTCCATTCTACTAATTCTTTATTAACACTAAACGCCTTGCAAACTAACCACTCCACATATACTAACACTTTATCAACCACTAACGCTATCTAAACTAACAACTACTCCATTCACTTAATATTTCCTTTATAACCAACTAGACGCCTTTAACTAACAACACTCCACTCTACTAACATGCTATTATTAAACCCACTAACGGCCTTTAATAAACTACTCCACTTTACTACACATATTTATTCAACCACTAACGCCTCTTAACTAACCACTCCACTTACTAACATCTTATTAACAACATAAACGCCTTTCAACCTAAACCAACTCCATTACAACATCTTTATTAACCACTAAACGCCATTAACTAACCACTTCATTACTACCATCTATAATTAACAACTAACGCTCTTAACTAACCTACCACTACTACAATCTTTATAACAACTAATCCCAACTCAACTCACGCAACCAACTACCATTACTTAACCACTCGTTTTAACAATACGCCTATAACTGAACACCCTTATAAAACTCTTATTAACCACTAATCGCCTTTAAACTAACACTCCATACTAACATCTTTACTTAACACAACTAACGCCCTTAACTAACCACTCCATTACTAACATCTTATTTACAACTAACGCCTAATACAACCAACTCCATTACTAACATCTTTTATAACCACTAACGCCTTAAACTGAACTACTCCATTACAAACTCTTTATTAACAACTAACGCCTCAACTAAACACTCCATTACTAACATCTTTATTACACCACTAAACGCTCAGTTACTACCAACTACCATATCATAACATCTCGTATTAACAAATAACGCCGATCAAACCACTCCAGATTATAAACATCATTAAATTAAACCACTACGCCTTTCAAGCTAACTACTCACATGGTACTAACACTCTTTATTAACCACTAAACGGCCTCTTAAACTAACTACTCCATTCTAATCCTTTATTAACAACTAACGCCCAAGTAACCACTCCATTACTAAAATCTCTACATTATAACACTAAACGCCCAACTAACCACTCCATTACTAAACACTCTCTATTAACCACTAACCCTTATTGACTACACACTCCATTTACTAACATCTTAACTGAAGCCCACCTAACGCCTTAACTAACTACTACCTTGAAACTCTTCTATAACAACTAACGCCTTAAACTAACTACTCCATTACTAACATCTTTATTAACCACTAACGCCTTTAACTAACCAATCCATTACTAACATCTTTATTAACAACTAACGCCTCAACTAACCACTCCATTACTAACATCTTTATTAACAACTAACGCCTTAAACTAACTACTCCATTACTAACATCTTTATGAACCACTAACGCCTTTAACTAACCACTCCATTACTAACATCTTTATTAACAACTAACGCCTCAACTAACCACTCCATTACTAACATCTTTATTATTAACTAACGCCTTAAACTAACCACTCCATTACTAACATCTTTATTAACAACTAACGCCTTTAACTAACCACTCCATTACTAACATCTTTATTAACAACTAACACCTCAACTAACCACTCCATTACTAACATCTTTATTAACCACTAACGCCTTAAACTAACTACTCCATTACTAACATCTTTATTAATCACTAACGCCTCAACTAACCACTCCATCACTAACATCTTTATTAACCACTAACGCCTTAAGCTAACTACTCCATTACTAACATCTTTATTAACCACTAACGCCTTTAACTAACTACTCCATTACTAACATCTTTATTAACAACTAACGCCTCAACTAACCACTCCATTACTAACATCTCTATTAACCACTAACGCCTCAACTAACCACTCCATTACTAACATCTCTATTAACCACTAACGCCTTATGCTAACTACTCCATTACTAACATCTTTATTAACCACTAACGCCTTTAACTAACTACTCCATTACTAACATCTTTATTAACCACTAACGCCTTTAACTAACCACTCCATAACTAACATCTTTATTAACCACTAACGCCTTTAACTAACTACTCCATTACTAACATCTTTATTAACCACTAACGCCTTAACTAACCACTCCATTACTAACATCTTTATTAACCACTAACGCCTTTAACTAATCACTCCATTACTAACATCTTCATTAACCACTAACGCCTTTAACTAATCACTCCATTACTAACATCTTCATTAACCACTAACGCCTTTAACTAACTACTCCATTACTAACATCTTCATTAACCACTAACGCCTTTAACTAACTACTCCATTACTAACATCTTTATTAACCACTAACGCCTTTAACTAACTACTCCATTACTAACATCTTCATTAACCACTAACGCCTTTAACTAACCACTCCATTACTAACATCTTTATTAACAACTAACGCCTTTAACTAACCACTCCATAACTAACATCTTTATTAACCACTAACGCCTTTAACTAATCACTCCATTACTAACATCTTTATTAACCACTAACGCCTTTAAGTAACTACTCCATTACTAACATCTTCATTAACCACTAACGCCTTTAACTAACTACTCCATTACTAACATCTATATTAACAACTAACGCCTCAACTAACCACTCCATAACTAACATCTTTATTAACCACTAACGCCTTTAACTAATCACTCCATTATTAACATCTTTATTAACCACTATCGCCTTAAACTAACTACTCCATTACTAACATCTTTATTAACCACTAACGCCTTAAACTGATCACTCCATTACTAACATTTTTATTAACAACTAACGCCTTTAACTAACCACTCCATTACTAACATCTATATTAACCACTAACGCCTACAACTAACCACTCCATTTCTAACATCTTTATTAACAACTAACGCCTTTAACTAACCACTCCATTACTAACATCTTTATTAACCACTAACGCCTTTATCTAACTACTCCATTACTAACTTCGATATTAACCACTAACGCCTTGAACTAACCACTCCATTTCTAACATTTTTCTATTGTTTCCAATACTTAGGATGATACTAATCAATAACGGTTTTACCTAACTATCCTGATACCAACCCCTTAAATAACGAAAAGCTTAAACCATAATGAATTTTTTAACACAAAAACGACTTGAAGGCATTGTTTATAAATATAGATCTCAGGAAGAAAGCAAATTTTTAACCTAAAAATTCTACTTTTTATGTAATAGTCAAAATTTTTAAAATGCCTATATTTTTTATCATTTTCTACAAGGCTTGGATGGTACATGAAGACAAATCTTGGCAATTGATTGGTAGGAACACATGAAGCTCAATACTGAAACTGATTCTTGATAACTAACAACTTTCCTTTAATAAATTAGCCCATTTGATTACATTATTAATTTGTTCACAGTTTAAGAGATATCTTAATGAAGGCCAGTCATGATGTATGGAGCTGTTTGATCTGCGTAGTGGACAACACATTGTAAAAATTGAAAATGAAATTTTGTTGCCAAAAAGATTTGCTAAAATCCTTCAACAAATGCAGAAATTAAACAGAAGCTTTTATTAGATTTTCATGCCGAACAGAAAAAACAAGTGTGTTGTGCACAGCTATGCAGTGTTTTTTGTTTGTTAAGCATTTCGATAAAATTGAATGTCTAGTCCTGACTGAGGGTGTTGTGGCGATTGGAGTTATTCCTTGGACCAGTAAATAAAATCATAGAATTCTATAGGGAAGTCAAACCTGGATGAGGAGAACAGAAAAAATACTCAAAACTTACAGTTGCTGGAATTTTGCGAGCTGTGAACACTCAACTCACAGTGAGCTCCGTTTTCATAATAGATTAAGCCACTGTTGACATGGTCTTTGTGATTCCCAATAAAGTTGCGTCTTTTCTTCATTTAACACAATTTCAGCTCCCAAACTGCATTTACCTAGCACAAAGCACGAGGAAACAGCAAAATCAATTCAGATATTCATGACCCTCAGGAAAGCATATGAATTACCCAAAACCTGTTTAAGGCATCTCATGAAAATTTAACAAGCTGCAGAGATTAATTTTAGCGACCTTATGAGTTTTTGCTTGCCATCCTTTTGAATGAGCAATTTCCCAAGACAACAAATGCTCTCCTAAGCGGTTGGATTACAAAAAAAATCAAGTTGTTTTGATTTAGGATGAATCAAGGGACGAAAAAAATGGTTTTACCTTAAGAAGATTCACACGTCATCACAAAGCGAATGCAAATTGTTTGTATGCCACAGTAGGAGCTCTTAACCATGTAATCAAGTAACTTACGTAATGACTTAAAGCACTTAAATACCAAAAGCAGAGGCAATTAATATACATAGCTCAACCTACTTACATTTTGGTTGGTTCCTCTGCTAATTCAAAAAACAGAAATACTCACAAGGTCAACAGAGCCGGGTCCATTCTTGCTAGGCGGCGTTGGGTTTCATCAGATCAATTTTACTTGGCAAACAACTGTTCAACAAAGCTTTGCTAAACAATCATTCCAAGTTTGTTTTTACAAACGCATAACAAAGGGTGTCTAAAAATCTGAATGGGTCATATTTCGCGTCGTGCCTTCAGAGATAGTCACGTCTTCAAAACTATTCGAAACCCAGCTCAACTCCTAGTGGCTCGTATAGGGGTAAACACAAGCTAATCCGCCTTTATCACTCGTCATTAAACATAAAAATATTGATCAAACGATGGGAAAGAATATCACAATCGTTCAAGAAGCTCACTTCAGTTATCTCCTGTTTATTTGTAGATAAGCTTTGTATTTTCACTCTTCATCCTTTTGCGGTTGCTGCTATTTCTTACGCGCTCCAGTTAGTTTGCTTTTCCATTCGAGCATTTTCTTGTACTACAAGTTGTAATTCAGTTTCGATCGCTCAATACAAATAATTCAGTGATTTGATGTGCAAATCAACACGATTTAAAACAAGTACAATCTCTATTAACATTTTTTCTTGCACAGAAATAGCACAAGTTCCAGAGTCCACTGCGCTGGTCCAAAACATTTAAAAAGCCAGTACCAGAGCGGGACGAAGAAAGGGTAAACTTGTCACTGCTAGTTAATAAGAAACAACATTTGGAAAGGAATTTGAGATATTTTGCCTTTGTACAACTGAGCAAAGCGAGAAATCAAACAGAAAATACTTGAGCATCTGATTTTGAGCTTTATTTCAACGCAATGGTAATTTCAATGTTGCACAACAAATGCAGTCTCTTGATGTTTAAAACACAATTCTACTTCATATTACCTACTACTTCAAATCTTCCTAGACAAAAATTGTCATTTTCCTACAAACGTTTCTCGGTTCATTTTCCTACTAATGTTCCATCTTTGACTGAGTTCAGTGTCTTACATTTTGTCCAAAGCTTTCAATCCAAGAATGTTGAATCCTTGCAAAAACACCAATGACGTGGCCTTCAAAAGCATCAGACGATTCATGTGCACCTTCACAATTTCACCTGTGGCTTTATCCTTCTCCACGCAGTAACAGGCCTCGTAGAACTCTGTCAGTTTGCATGCAAGCTCATACAAATACTCGCAAAGAGTATGCAACAGAAGATCATCCAAAATTTTCATCAGAATTTCGGGGAATCGAGTCAAAAATTTGCCAAGTTTCAATTCTTTGGGATGATCCAAAGTAATATTGTTTGATTTGATATACTTCTCAAGCTCCTCGTCGCTAACTTTCGCTGTCCTGATAATAGATCTAGAGAGAAATTGTATTTGAAGGGATTATGAAATCGTAAGAAGGAAAAAGATTTCGAGGATTCGAGCAGCCTTTGCATGAATAAATTCAATGAACCTGCTGGAAATCACAAAACTGGGGGCAGCTGCAGCTTCCATAGATTGTAAATTTCTTGCGATTTGACTTCGGGAGCTTATGGTCTTTTAATCCATCACATTCTCTCTGGATATTAGAAGCTAAAAATCCCATCTTACACCTTCATGCCTCTTAGCAATGTCAAATATGGCGTCATAATTTTGTGCAGAAGAGCTTGCCATGACTGTTGAACTGCATCGATATTGAAAGCGATCACTAGCATGCCATCTCATTTTGTTTCACATTTGCAATCTCTATGTTTAACAGATTACGTAAGCAATTATGAGGTAAACGTCTGAATATACACCGCCCTGCCAAATACTTTAATTCAATTCCCAATGGAGAAATCAGAAATTTTTAAACCAGAGCAAGCTTATTTTTCCTTAAATATATCTTTAGAATTGCAACACTTGAAGGTAAAGAGATCAAGTATTTTGATTGAGTAAATTGTGTAAGAATAAAAAGCAAAGAAGCAAAGCAAAAGATTTTAATACCTTATTCTTGTCAAGGCATAAAGCAAGTAAACAGCAGTGTTTCCTTTATCGTCCAACATCTAAAAATAACAGCATTTAGAACTTTCATGCACTTGCCGATGCTTCTGTGAAACGCTTCGAATACACCTCAGATTTACACAATATACTTCACTTCCCGCATAACCCAGACTTTTCATAAAACATCAAAAAAGTTCTTCAAGCAAAGCTCTTTTCAAAAAGGGCTCTTTTGATCATTAGTGATAGTTAATTTTTGTTTAATCTCTTCTCACGAAAATCGTTGATCAATCGTCTACAGAAAACGCTTTTATGTAAAAATGGGCCGAGTTAATCACTTCAAGTTGGGAAATTTGTGTGGTCAATGTGTCAAAAAATGATGCGATCATACTTTTTCCGCATCCGCATGTTTCCTATATTATTTTCTTTGAGTTACAATAATCTAATACCATACCAAAAAACAACATTATTAAAACTCTTGTTCAACGCATCTCTGATACACCATCAATAATATGAAATCCTGTTTTGCTTCGTTGCATGCTGTTTAACACAAAAGCTGCTTGGGCTAGAGTGGTAGGAAACCAATGGTAAATCATATCAAAAATCTGAGATACTTCCTTAAACTGCAGTAACTGGTTTCAAAATGGCTAGAAATAGGCTGCTTTCTGCTGTCATTAACACGTCATTATTCTTTACAAAATGATCCCTTCTATCTCTTAAAAGGAAATAGCTACTAAAACTAATTACTTGCCCAAGGTATGATCCACTTAGTTTCTTTAAAAAGCTTAAATATCGATTCGGTAGGAAATATTTATTGAGCGTTCAAATCTGTCATATACCACTTTCAGAGGTTTTTGGCACTGAAATGGGGTATCCATCCTCATCACTCCCCAAAAACTTCCATATCCCCGTTAACCAATTAGTTACTTGAAGATTCTGGAAATTACCTTGTCAAATGAAAAGACATAGTCCATCATCCTATTGTGTGATAAATCTGCGTATTTGATGCAGCCATACGCCACAGATGTACTGGCAGCATGCAGTTCTTCCGGTGTAAGTTCCTACAAAACATAACGTTATAACTAAATGTTGAGAAACTAGAAGTTCAAGGAATTTTTTGAAACAATATATCATTAAAAATCTGTTACTTGGATACTTTGGGACCATGGATTTCCTGATTTAGCTATAATCCAATATTATTTTCTAATTCATTTCATTCAACCGAACAAAATTTAATTAGTAGCTAATTAAAATTACTTATAAGAGTCTTTCGAACAGTAGTACTAAACAGTTTAGCATACCTTATCACGTCCTTTTTCCTTCAGCTTGTCCTCGGCCCTACGAACACCTTCGTCTAACAGATCTAAAAGTCTGATCGTTTCTCCAGACCTCGTCTTGAATTTTTTCCTTGAAAAGAAATTGCTTGAAATTACATTTCTATCAAAAAAGTAAAACTGATCCCAGTATAGAGGATACGTTCCGGATGGTCTTTGTAGCAACTCATATCTCCAGGATGGATACACCCAGTAATAAATATGAGACAACTAAATTCGTTTGGGGGGGGGGTTGAGTGCTGTAAAATAAACTCATTTAAATTGTCTGATTCTTTGTAAAGACTCCCGCACCTTAAGCAAATGTTAGCCAAAAGGTAAGCACTCTACTTACTTGTCCTCTCCTAGGACGACTCCAAACGGCATGTGATCAACTCGTGTTATATCTGGGTGATACCAGCCGGCACGCTGACCAACACCGAAGATCGTTTTGAAATGCTCTGCCTGTTTTGAGTGTTAAAACTCAGTCAAAAGAATATCCAGCTAATCATATCCAGCATTTTAATTCAGTTTCTGCTCAGTATTAACAAACATGAATTAATTATGCTTGAAAATCAACTCAGAAAAATTATAGATTGAGAAACAAAAATTATACTATCATACTGATTCAACTGGAACAGCAATCCGATAGAAATAACACAAATAACTAATAGGATTGTATTTACGAAATGACAGAAAAATTTAAACGCCAGCATTGTTCGCGTATTATGGACCATCTAATGCTCTTTGAGATTTCTTGGTGAAATTAAAGAGCATCAGTGTACCAATTTATTCGTGAACACATAACAATGAAGAGTACATTGCTTTCTTTTGGTTTATCTGTAAGAAAAAAATTCAAGAAAAAAGAAAAAGTCTAACTAATGGTGCATAAGAAAAATGGCTGTGAGCATAAGTTTCTATTTTATCTTCATGCTATGCACTAAGGTCAGAAAGTATTAGCATATTTTTAACACGACCATCTAAAGGTAGTATTCTCGCTCTTTGTTATAGAAGAGCTAGGCCTTAAGTTGATCCCACGCAGCAGTTAGGCCCGACCTTGTGCCAAACACTATAACCGTTGAAAAACACACCTGACCCGCGTCTGTGATGTAAACAATCCAGTCAGCCTTCTCTTCAAACAACCTCTGTTTCAGACAAGCAGAATCTGATGTATCATACGTGTAACCACCATCAGATTTCACCATAGTTAAAGGCACCTTAATACCTGGAGCGAACGCAACTTTTCTTCCTTCCTCAAGGTCTACAATACCTAGAAAAGGAATTTCAAATCTCACAAAACCGGAGTCCACCCGGATGTTTATTAAAATGCTTATGTCGACGCAAGATATTAACTAAGTCACTATGTGTGGCTTTTCTGTTTTTCTTCTTTTTTCCAGTAATATCAAAAAAACCTTCTATACATACAAAATACGTAGAAGTTGGTACCAAAAGCTGTTTTGTTGTGTCTGCTATCAATAGATTTATTGTTGTATGTCTCACCGACAATACAACTAGGAGAAATGCTTTCAGACAATCAGCATTATTTCCCGCTAAGCTAAAACGAACAGACAACTTTAAGAAAGTCAATTCTCATTAAGGCCTTTACGAAAAAGAATTCTTGAAATAAATTGGTTACTTACTCTTCCCTTTCCCTAAACTGCTAATCTTTACCAAAAACTTGATTCTGTGCATCATAAAAATTTAAAACCTGCTCGCATATATCACATATCAAACAAACAGAATTGACTTACCTGCTTCTTCCAATTCCTTAACCACTTGAGTCATCCTATCTTGATAAAACGATTCTCCCCTTTCAATTAAAGTAATTTCTAGCCGGTCATAAATCTTCTGGAACTCTGTAACATAGAAATTGTGGAAGTTTAGTCAAACAGTCCACAAATTAGATGTCAGAAAGAAAGCTACAGCTATACATAACATGTCTGCTAGGGTAAGGAAAAAGACAATTTAACTTAAGTTGGATTTTTAGAACAGTTACAAATATATTATTTCCTAACCACATTTTAAGCGCCCTTTCCAACAAGTGCTGATCCAGGTTTTCAAAGGTGGAAATAAGCGCCCAGGAGTCAGGATGGTAGAAAGAAAAAATTGTCGATGATTCGGGTGAGGATGAAGACGAGGCATAAAGAGAGAAGTCGACACTAGATACATAAATGCATTTTGTACAATAATGCTTTAAGATTTCTCTTATTTAACTTAAGTTTGGAAAAGGGTTCTTTGTCATTTCTAATTTCCGAACTTTGAAAAATGCACCAACTTTTATACGGGTTCTCCTATCAAATACCCATCCAAATTTTCAAAATCTTGATAGAAATTGGAATAAAAAAAGAACTAAAAACCTTTGCGCGATTCATTGCAGATCAACTGCCAAGCCTTGACGATATCTGGCTGCCCTCCTTGAAGTTCTACCACGCGCTGGTAAGCACGCTTTTTAAAGTCTTCTTCCTGGTCAAACCGCTTTTTTGAAGCCTAAGAAACAGAGAGTAATTATTGAAGAGACTAAAATTTCATCTACGCCAACTTTCTTGCGATAAGGAAGATGTCACTCAGAAAGTACTTCTTGTAACTTGTAGAAGTCTTCGCCAGGTCAGGTCAGGTATTTTTTTATCTGCTCCACGTAGCCCTGTACTACCTGCCTCGGATCGAGTCGTCGGCGACTAATCCGGCAACCCCACCAGGCTCGTCTCAACAACGGCGTGAATGGGATTGTGAATGACGTATTTGAGCAACATCAAAGAATGGACTAACAGAACAAATGAAAATGAACTCATTCAAGCATGTAAAGATAGAGAAGTTAGGAGGAGCATCATCATGAACGCCTTAGCGCATGATACATAAAGAAAAAGAAGATAAAGAAGAGGTCTTAGATAACGTCTGCCTCATTTATAACATGGTTAAGAGGCTAATTATGGGAAGGAAGATATTCGTTATCTTCGCGATGCTAGTAGAAAAACGTTGCTCCTGTTAAACTTTCTTGCGTTCAATTTCAAGTTGTTTTTTAGAACACATACTGCGAGGCGTGGTTCTGCGTTCTTCAAAAAAATTGCACAGAGACATAATTAAAATGACAACCACAAAGGAACACGGAAACCTTGCCTTGTAAAATGACTGCAAGTCTCCAATCGGTGGTGACGTAGTCCTGAAGTCTGGGAACTGGTCTTCCAGATGTGCTATGAGCATTCCAAACTGTGTGCCCCAGTCTCCTACGTGATTCAGCCTAAAAAGAAGCCTCTATGTGAAGAATATCTTCAATAAATGATATTCATTAAAAAACAAGGAATTTCAGTGCAAAGATACCTTTAGCCAATACCAAAGCCTCTTTTGTGTAAGGTTGCCTTGTTATTTGAAACTTTTCATCGGTGGATCCTGGTAATCAAAATGCCTTAACTGTAAGCAAAAATTAGAGAGAAATGTGGAATCCCTTTCAAAATTTTCAATAACTAGGGTTACTTTGATTAAAGTACTACTGATAATAACCTTTTCAATATACTTGTCGAAAAATTACGGACATTAATAGCGCTAACAGAGACTGTATTATAGAAACCATTGGTTGCAGGTTTATTTCACGAAAGCGACTAACATTTGGAATTGGTGTACAATTGTGGATGATTTGAATTGTTCATAATCTGGAATTCGTCAGGAAGGAAAATCCAGATCTTGAATCTTAAGAGGCTTTGGTGCCAAAATTGGTAATTTCAACTTTGAGAATAAGACATTTTTATGCACGTCATGGTGAACGATTCGTGCACTTTTGGATAAAATACTTCACTAGATACTATGGACTTAAGTTATTCAAGGTTTTAAATGCAGCCTTTTATGAATATTTCAATGTGTATATCAAGTTCTAATCGACAATCTATTTGAACACCAAGGAGAGTACATGATCTTTTACAACAATTATGAAATCATTGTTGATTTCAAATTATTTAATGTTTGCATATTTAAATCAACAAATAATGACAGAAAATTTAAAGAAGTCTGCTAGCACTTTGGTAATGGGTATGTACTAGTGAAAGATTTAGCGAAGCTTTACTCGAAAACAAAATCTACAAAAAGTGTTTAAATTGTTCGTCTAACAAAGTGATTCAATCCATTTTCTGCAATTGTTGGGATTAAGTGAAGGAAAGCTTGCAAACCATGCAGCAATACAATAGTAAGCAAGGGCTACGTCACAAGGGCTATGCTTGTGATAGAAATGACTGGGGATTTGTCAGGGGGTGAAATACTCAGCTCCTTCCATCTCAGTTCAAAAGGACTTGAAAAAAGTACAAAATCAGATATTTTAGCAACTGCAAAGAAAAGGCCGCTCGACAAGCGAACAGCCACATAGCTGCAGGGGGCACGGGGGGCTGTGCCCCCCAAATGAAAATTTTGACAACAGCTTGCCCCCTCTGGCTACAGTTTTTCCAAATGATATTTTGAAAATTTGGCATATTTAGTATACCTTGATTTTGTCCATATATATCTGTTTGTTATATATCTGTTTTCTTGTTTTAAAGGCTGCCCCCCCTCAGGTATGGTTCTTGCTCGAGTTTGCCTCCCCCCCCCCCTTAGCCGACACCTACAACTACCTGGTTGCAAGCGAATCGGGAGATTCGCCGTGCTTGTTCCACTCCGGACTCTCAAGGAGAAGCCCACTTTTTAGCTGACCCTGCACAAGGTTCCGCTTCCTATCCAGTATCTTTAATACCTTTCCTAAAGAAATTGAAGACCCGAGTAACAAATACCTCAGGACATCGTGACCAATGTATTCCAGCAGCCTGCAAAGACTTTCTCCAATAATGGTGGATCGAAGATGTCCCACGTGCATCTCTTTGGCGATATTCGGCGATGAGAAATCGACGACAACCCTTTTTGGGGCTCCAATGCCTGGTGGCAAGACGCCTCTTTTTAAGATATCATCTAAGATGCCAAGAATAACATCCTTTTTCAGTATGATATTGATAAACCCTGGTCCTGCAATCTCCACCTAGATATATGGACACATGAATTTATGGTAGATAATAATTAATGAATATATGATTAATTTTATAAGACAAAAGACTAAGAGGCAAATAATAAACGCATTTTGACCATTTCAAGGAAGAAAAAAATGTTGCTTGAGTATGTTAAGATGAGCATTCAGCACAGAGTCGTTTTGGCCTCTTCTGACAATATACAGTTTAGAAAGTTTTCAAAATCGCAATTAAAACTGTGACATTTGATAAATTCGGGCTGACTGTCATTGTTCGCTACAGCTTCTTGGAATTTTACAAAAATAAAGTTGAAGAATATTTTAGCTCGGTTTAGCAACCCCCAAAAAAACGTTGCACGAGTAAAAAACGCGGCATAATAAATTTGCTCTGGTTAAAATGGAATTGAAGCCATGTAATTGGAGATGAGCAGAATCGATGAAAAACGTCCTGTGTTCATTTAACAGACGGGTCTATCAAACACCTGCTTCTAAAATATGGCGTAATAGAGAAAACTTGATTAACTTTCAAACCTTTTCAATAACGTTGTTCTCTGGCAATTTGTTGATAATTTCCTGTGCGATTTCCCTTGGATTCGATGGTTTACCTTGGGTTTTCAGTTTCTACAACAAATCGTTACAAACAATACATCTTTTTAAAATGATTGGTGTTCTAAACATATTATACTCTTTTTTTCTACAAAAAACACAGTTAATTAGATGAACAGAACAGAGCATTAGTTGAAAAAGAATTAGTAGAAAAAGCGATGTGCTTTTTAAAATTTTAATGTTAACAAAACAGACAAGATTTTATCAGCTAGTAAACAGTGCTACTAAAATCTCGTGCAAAACTCTTATCTAGTGGTCTTAGAAACAATTGATAGTCAGTAAATGTAAAAATTATCCATCAAATTGACCTCAAATTATCCATAAAATAAAAATATCGAGCCTCGACAAAAATGATCTGTTACTTTTTACACGAAGTACTAAGCGGTCTAAAATAAAATTCACGTGATTTTCATACAATATGAAAACTTAAGCATTTTGATTAAAAATTTGGACTCGCTTGTTTTATGGGTTTGTTTATTAATGTGAAAAATGCTTGATGACGCCTTGTGCCCTCAAAAGAGGAGGCTGAGTGGTGCCAAATGACTAACTTTATGATGCAAAAACTCAAATCGGCTCTTTTGTGCATCACTGCGAAAATATTCGGGTAGGGTGGGGAAGTTAATGATCATGGAAAATTGCCTTATATTAACTAGTTATAACAACGATAATTACCAGAAAACTAGCCTATACAGAAAAAATCCTGTTTCGAGCTTGAATGCAGTACGGTATAAATTGGAATGAAACACCAGCATATGAGCAGAACACTTCAAGCCGTTGTTAAAGACAGATAAAGAAGAGAACACCTGAACAGGAATCAACAAGGTAAATTGTGATCCTTCCATCATTGTAGTTTGTTCTCCTGTCTTTGGAAACTCTAATTGCCTTTAATTTTTTATCAGTACAGATACATTTTATCAGTACAGTATATTTTGTATCTTGATGATTGGTTTTCAGAGGGTCGTCCAGAATTTTTGTATAAGTTTCAAAAAAAGCTGTAATTTTTTAAAGAAAGGTTTCAATTTTCCGTTTTCAGAAAACATTGCAAGAACCAGTGAAGTTTTGGGAATTTTCCTTTCAAAAAAGTGAACTTTTACAATAAGTGAACGGATTTAGCGAGAATCGGGCAATCCTTTAATGATCTAGTTCAAATTGCAAAAGGCCAATTGTCCTGATAGTTCAAGTTGCAAAAGGCCAATTGTCCTGACTGTCAGTAGCAGATTTAGTCAAGGCAGGGATTGTCTGGGTCCTATCTTGCGCAGTGTGAAATTTGAGCAAAAGAGTTACAAATTTTGTTTCTCTCTCGCAGCAAAATTAAAATGGGACAAACGATGTACTTGGCAATCTTATTTGGCATTGCAGTGAGCATAGTTGCTAGTCAAGGAGGTAAGACCAGAATTGAGTAATGACAACTTGAGGGTTAGGGCAGTCCATTCCTAGGTTTTTCCTGTGGTGCAAAGGGGGAGATAAAAAACATTGTTAATGTAGCTACTAGGAAGATGCTTTAACTGCCATTTGTAATCCGGGGCTACGCTATACGTATAAATGACCATTTCGTACTTTATTCTTCAATAAGATGCACCTTTAAGTACAAATGAGGTCTTTTTGCATAGCAAAAACAAATTTCCACAGGCATTTCAACAGGGAAAAGGCTCGAAGGTTAGGTATGATCTAACGTATTAACCTGTTGGTACCTTTTTACCAAGTAGATTAAACTTTCGATTCGCGACTGTATTGAAACCCAGTTTACGCTTTTAAAGGGATTGATAATGAAGATACGAGCTTTAATAAAATGGAAGATGACGAAGAGTTTGATGAGGAGCCAGCTGACTTTGACGAAGAAGATGCAGGAGACAGCTTTAAAGGTGATGCATTTGATAATAATATGAAGATCAAAAAATCACATGAACACATGAACACCGGGAAGATATTTGCAAATAAAAAATCCGTGTGAGTGCGTACTTATCTGATCAACTGTAAAAGGTAGCAAAGATTCACCAACACGTTCATTTGAGACAAAACGAAGGCAATATGCCATTTAAGTACTATTAAACGCCTAATTGTTGAGAAATTGTCAAAAATGTCTTGTGGAAAACGGGGATTGTTCTGCATAAAGATAACGAAAATATTCTGATATCTTAGATGCTTTTCCAAGTCCTGGAAGACGAAGGGACGCCTGGTCACAAAAGAAAGGTATGCAGTCGATATTAACGGTTTTGGTAATTAATAATAATAATAATCAACGACGTGTCACTCTTTTAACGAAGGCCTTTCTATATAATTTCGATTTGGCAGCAATGGTAGTACCAGCATCAACGCAGAAAGTAAAGATCATTGAAAAGCATTAAATAATAGAAAGAAGCGGCGTTACTTTTTCTTGGATTTATTTCCCTGGTAATACAGGCCTCCAAGGAAATAAAACCGAATTTGAAAGTAGATTTGATTGTATAGCAAGCACGAATTTCTGCTTAGAGCTCACAGTTTCTGAACAGTACATTTATTTCCAAGCACAACGAATATCCTTATCAATGTTGCTTCAACAGCTGTTTTCTTAACCCCAATATCGTTCTCTTCACTTAAACTTCAGAACCTTGCTCCGCTCAAATTAGAAAACCATTAATGGAAAATTTCTTCAGAGATTCAGGTGAAAGAATGACTGAACGATGCTTATCCGTAATGGTTTAAGAATTTTTCCCCATAAATGTGGTTCTACTCATGTTAGCCAAGTTAGAAACGAGGTATAATAAAAGATTGCGTGAATGTTCTCCGGCATCGAGTTATGTTCCTTGTCCTCGTAGCGGCCTGTAAATGTTTGCTTTTGGTATAGGGTTAAAATGGAATGCACTGTTGGTAAAATGTCGTGGCCCTAAGGCTTCGGCTCTTGTTTTAACTACCCAAATCTCCATTTAACCATTCAATTTTAATCTTATAGATGCAGCATTTATGCCTGGTCAGCGTAGACGGAAGTATCTTAAGTGAGGTAATGCTGTCGTTTTTGTTCAGTTAAAGTATATTTTTCTTTTATGAGATTATATGGCCACAACGCCAAAGATGATTGTAATTTTTTAAAACGAGCTCATGCTATATTTTCTGCCACCTTAAGCAAAAAAATCTGCATTCTTTTTTAAGAGACTGGAATCCCTAGCTGATGAACATACAGCATTGCAGTGTGACAGGAAAGCAAACAGTGATGAAAAAATCTACAAAGCATATCATTCTTCTCTTCTTATCAATGGATTAATCTTGCTACACTCTGGTGGAATTGTTAAAATTTGACAATTTATGAACCAGCCTGTTGTATTTCTTTATGATGTGCCCTTACACTGTGCTTATGATTTTTAGACTCCAATCGAGCTTTGAAAAGTTAGATTAAAACAGCAAGGGAAAAGAATTTTATCAGATGGCATCAACCACAATCATTAAGATTCTTTCAAGCTTATAATATTTGCCCTAAGCGAATGTAGTATTCAAGACCATGAAGATTTGTTGAAATGCATAGTCACAAACGAGATCATATTACATGTTCTTGACCATTGCAAAGAGCTAAAATCCTGTACTGCCAGGTTTTGAATAAGCCTACAATCCTGCTGATAACCTTAAAATTGTCAACATGACAGTTTCTATGAAACAAGTGCTCCCCTTCAGTTTACATTTTGACATAAAGCCAAAACTTCAGGTAAGGGCCAAACTGGTGGAGAGGGCAAGCATATAATGTACAAAATACCAGACTAAAATAGATATAAAACTCTCAAGCACTTGTTACCTTTGCAATCACCATTGCACTGTTGCACTGATAATCACCAAATTTATCAGACTGTGCTGCCTGAACAAGGGTTTGAACATCATCTATGTCTGGATAAGCAAGCTGAATGCTCTTTGAAAACAATGATGTTATTGTTAATTTCAAGTTGGGCATCTTTTTTTCAACTTGGGCCTTCTGATCCATGATTGCCTAAAATCAGCAAATAATTACCAGAACTAAAAAGAGGAATGGTATAAAATTATCTTAAGGACAAATAATGGCTCATGTGCCTTTTTTAATTAGCACACTGGGTCTGTTCTAACTTACTGCTTGAAAGAACTATACCAGCTTGGATAACACAAAATACCATGAAACACTTTGCTGAAATCATAGACTCTTATTTATAAGGAAATCAGTTTGAATGGCCTATAGGAACTTTATGATACTTCAAAAGTATCACTTGATACATTTTTAATTGATTTTCGAAGTATCAAAGTTACTGCTTTACTTGAAAAACAGATTTTGCCATGCACACTTCATCTGGTCATTGAAATGACACACATCACATTAAAGAAAGGTAGAACTTAGGCGCTAATAGAGCCTAAGTTTTTGTTTTTCAAAAAATATGATACACATTTAAATCTTCCCAACATGTCCTCCCATTAACAAAATATATTAATAAATAGATCAGACATATATCCTTACTTCATTCTAACTTTCAATAAATCAAATTATAGAATGCTTGGGTGGAAGGCCAAAAAGTTTCTGTGTTTCAACAAAGTCCTTACCCTTTCAAGATGTGTCTTCTGATACTTTAATTTGGCGTTCTCAGTTATCAATTTTTGTAGATCTTCAGAAGGCTCATCAAATGATGGGTCACCTATTTTTCTTGATATCAATTCAATCTGAGCTTTCAGAAGTGCAATTTCTTTTTCCTGAAAATAAAAGTTAAAGCTTAAACTTTATAGCATTCAACAAATGATGAGGAAAATCATGGGCAGCTCTTCTTCAACACAACTCTAAATTTAGTGGATACTTCTCCCATCAGATTCAAAGAATTATGAAAAGCCAAGCAGAACAGAATTTTCATTTCAATTACTTGAAAGGACTGGTACATGAAAATGGTAAGGCTTATGTCAAATTGGATGGTTTCTGTCAAACTTTCAAAATTGACCAATGAAATTGCAAAAATGACTGGGATCTGCTTGCAAAAACACACACACCTCCTCTTGTAACTAAAGCTCCCCTGAGCATAAATTTATCACTAGACAATAATTTTTTTCATGACTGGAAACCTTGTTGCCCACCCACAATATATTGCTGTGCAAATATCTGTATGCTTCACATATTAGCCATGCAAAATCCATTAGTAACAGCATTTGACATTATCAACTCTACACATTGTGTAGCTGGGAATTTTTAGAAGCAGGATAGGGGTTTGGCATTTTAGCAAAATCACAACAATTATCTTCATTAAGAAAATGATATCGCCACAGAATTGCCTTCCAGGGACATTTTGCAATTTTTGTATAACTACAGCAATAAAACAATAAGAAAACATCAAAATGATTTCTTCAAATACTCTCAAAAAATAAGGGCCCCTGCATTAAAATATTGCAAAACACGATTTGCTAGCCTACAATAAAATGACAAAAAACTTGAAATTAAGTAACAGAAAAACAATTTTGTTCACTTTTGAATCTCAGGAGATTGTGTTTGAAATGATTTCCTACTTCAAAGATCAGTAGCAAAAACTAGATCAAATCAGCAGTGAAGGTCCATGCTTCCCAATTCATTACAATGTTCAATTGTTTATAATTTCATTTTAAATATTAGCTGGATCTGGCAGATAGTGATTGAGTAAATCAAAACTTGGTTTTGTAACTAAAACTTTGGTTTAGGTACTGGGTGACTGCAACAGATGGGAATGCTTTTTGTTGTGGGCCAATTTCAAATAGATTGCTTTTCACCCTCACCATTTCTTTCATCTTTAACATTTTTGAGGCATCTAAATCTTGTCAATTCATTTAACATTGAATGTGCATTTTCATTTGGAATTTTATTTGCCAATTTTCATGCAGTCTTTACTTTACCGAAGAGATTTTCTGGCACTCCAATTGTTTAGTAAATAATATTGCAATTGGTAGCAATCATTTCACTGTGGTATTTTTGTTTTTCTTCACAGTAATCATTATCAAAAGATTTTTTTTACTTTGTCCAAACATTTTGGCTCTCCATGTATTGCGTTGATAATATACAATTTTTTCAGTTTTCAATGAGGTGTTTTTCCCACTTATGTATAGTTTTACAAAAAACCTTATGCTGATTTCATGGAGATACAGAATGCATTTAAGTAGAATTCTGAAAATATTTGGAAGGAAGATGGGGCCCCCTGCCAAACAGGGCCCTGTTCTTAAGAACACCTTTGCACAATGATCAATAAAGCACTGCTCAAACATCTTCAATTATAATCATATTGTGAATTTAGCTGTTTGCGCTCTACTGCTCCTGTTTGTGTCTGTGACACTATATGGTATAGAGTGTCAGATTAAATAGTGTCAGAAAAAAGGTTAAATGAATGCTACTTGCCTCAATCCATCAATGTTTTCAAAAAATATTCTGACATGTTTTTTCTAGTCTTCGTGAAATTTCAGACAACATCTGTTAAGTCCCCGCTTTTTCGATCTATGCCCCTGACTCTATCTACAACTTTTTAAGTCAGTCTTCCAGTCTCAAATTTTCAAAGTGAACTTGTCCGGAAAGTTTCCAGTTGTAACTTATTGAAATATAATTTAAATAGCACTCGAGTTAAATACGGCCAAGGAAAGTTTTTGAAAATTATCAAACAGGCCAACTTTTTCAGTTATGGTCATTATGGCTTCAACGAAAAGACCAGTAATGCAATGGCTATATATACACAAATACATGCTTCTACTTCGTCTATACATGAGAGAAAAAAACATGAAAAATACCGCTTTGTCAGCTTTATCACTAAAACTCTTGACATCAATTTCTTGCTCAATATTTGTAGCCATCTTTAGTCTTTCGATCTTTTTGAACTGAAAACGTGATTTTTGAAAATTCCTTGACTTTGTTAATAATAAACTTCCATAAGATCTGGTGGCAGGGATTTTCCCTAGTGAAATTGGCAGGAGGTGCTTGGTAAATGTTCCAAAGATACTAGATCTCATCTACAATTTGTGATGGCCTAGGCAAAAAGGAACACGAGATCGGAACCTCTTTTCGCAGTGGCCTCTCTTTCAGAATGATATCGGAGAGACGAATAGATAGGGAAGGGGGGCTACTTTCTTGGCTTGCAAAATAATGTAGTTTTTTAATTCGCTTTTTGTTAGAAATCTAAAATGTGATGAAGAGAGGAAACAAATATGTTTATTACCCAAAATGAAACATTTGCTAAGTTTCAATGACTCTTCAAATATCCAATGCTTATTTCAATCGCCATTCCACGAACAGCAGAAATACAGGAAGATATGCATTTCACCAATTAAACAAAAATAAACCTTATTTGGATAAATATTTCTAACTTACTAAAAATCACATGCAAAGCAGGCTCACAATGTTTTAGAAAATTACAAAGAATACTGGAACTTTTCCATTTCTTTCAGGCATTTTTCTTCTAACCATAATTGCGATACGTAGTTGGTAAAATTATTTACTATGAGCATACATAGAATTGCGTAGTTACTAGCTGTTTCTCTTACGATTCTTTCAGTTGGATCGCATAGTGAACTCGTTATTCCATAACTTGGCTATGAGATAGGTACATGTTTACGTAAATTTAGTCATAAACATACAGCGTGTTATAGACATGCAGCATTATTTCTACATAAAAATTGTTGTTAATTAGCTTAAGTTGACGTAAAACCAGATATGTCATTCTTGTTTCTTATTGATAGTTAAACTTGGAGATTTTTGCAGCGTTGCTCAGAACCAGGGACTGTAAATTTAAAAGTAATTGTGATTTTATTGTGCAAAACTGATAATAATAAAAGTAAAAGTAAAGTAATTGGCCTTTAGTAATTGTGAATCTAGATGCATCGTAAGATGTAAAAACGATGGTTGATACCAAAGAACAAGACAGCAAAGCAAATTGGTCTTGTTTTTCTTCAGCGTTCATGTTCATCTTTAGATACTTCAACATATCTTAAGAATTAGCACCTGGACAGTTTACAGTCCCATTAAAGAATGACTGAAGGAGACTGTGTTCTGACGTTTCAAACTCTGAAGTGTGTCGGACGAAAAGCCCTAGTTTACTAAATGTTTGCTTTTTTCAATGCCATTTTCAAGTTTTGTACCACCAAAAGATTGTTTGAATATATTATCAATGAAAACAATCTTGCATTTTGCGTAACGTGCTAACCAACTCTTTAAATTAGCTTTGATTGAAAACAAATATTTGCTTATTACACGTATTAAAAAATTTTTTAAATTTCAGCTAAAATTTTTTAATCAAAAACATAAGGATTTATACCGCAAAAGTTTCTGTTTCTTTTCTTAATGCATACAACATAAAGAAACTGAAATCAAAGCAAAGATGACACGTTGACAATTGCTGAACACGTTTTTTTATCATAAGAAACCTGGATCAGCACTAAATACTAAAAATTTCTTAATTTGGCATTCAACATTTAGCGTTTTAGTACTAAAAGTTTTTTACTTGGTTCCTTTTTTTCAGGACCTAAAATTTCCTTACTATTTTGAAGTTGAGCAGTTTTGAAAGAAAATAAAAGCAGATCGCCACGAAATAAACCCATGCATATCAAATCCAAAGTATGCTATATTTTCCAAGGAAAGATCAACGAAGTAAAAACTTTTGGACTCTTCTTAAAGATGGAAATTTTTCAGTTTCCTAATTTTCATTGAGCCTAGTACTGTAGTTTCTTAGATTGTTCGCCATCCTTGTACTAGTTTCTAATAAACCAGCTTCTTGTACTGAAAAAAATGCATAAGTTGAGAAACGAAGTATATAGGCATTGCCCCCAGAAAAGCTGGAAGCATTAAAGAGCCGTTTGTATGAGCATTGTTTTTATGCGATGCAATCCTTCACGTGCAACAAGTTTGATGCCATCTTTGTTTGAAAATCTTTGTCTTAAGCGATAACCAGCGCTGAAATATCGTTAAGGGAAGAAGTATCTATGTGAGAGATAATGTTCTTAGCCCGTAGCGCTGACATGAAGAAGTGGGGCCTCCCTCGTTGTTTGTTCTTAGATGCAGAAAAGAGTCACAGAATTGTTGCTTTACCCCAAGTCGGCCATTGACGATTGAACCAGCAAAAGAAGCGGGATATGACTGGCAGACTTAAGTGAGTATCTTTTTTATACTTAGTCACAAATATGGGTGTAAAGAAGAGAAGGCTGTTGCATTTAGTAGATGTTCGTTTGTAAAGGAAGTCTTCGCAGAATTTCGTAAACATGTTGGTTATATTTTTTGCTTTTAAATCTTTTATCCTTCCTCTTCTACTTTTACCCGGCTTCAATCCAGCCTAGATTGTGCTAGAATAAGCTACTCAGACTTCCTCCAAAGGCTCATAGTTAGGTTGAAAATGATGCAGACCTTGCCTATAAGAAGTATGGAAAACTCAATTCTTGTCAAACTTACAACTGCATCCCTGTGTAGTGGGTTGATGAATTCCCCCAAAATGGACAAGGGAGTAGAATTCTATCGATACGGCTTTGTTTTTTAGCTTTGTTTTCTAGCTTTTAGCTTTTTATCGATACGGCACATGATTTTTAGCTGTATGTTCACATGTATTACAAGCATTCATATATATTAATAAGTCCATTTGTACCTTAATCATACTCTATGTCCTGTTAAAAGATACTTCCTCGGAAGGTAGCCTCCTTTGGTTGTTCATTTCGTGTGCTTTTTACGTCGTACAGTTGTCGATACATTTTGGCAGCTATAAACACTCCTCTTTCAGATAATAAGTTTATAAAAAGACACTTACAAGTACGCACGTTCTTGGAAGGAAGTCTAGACAGTATTCTAGGAAGTATTAATGAGTTTAGGGCATTATAAGGTTCAGTGGCGAAGCCAAAGGTCGTGCCCGTCGTGCCCGGCACGACCATAAACTTCCAAAAGTAAGGTTTTCACATATTGGCAAAAATTCATTTTGCTCCGCGAAAAGTTTTCAAATATAGACAAAAATTAGTCGTATAATCGACAAATCGATCAAGCTTATCCCGCAGACATAAGTGAATTCTACTCGAATCGCCCAGGGCCCCTGGAATTATTTCAGGAGCGGAGTAGAAATCCACAGGGTTTCATCTTGGTCGTGCCCAAAATCTGGTACCTTGTGATTTGGTCGTGCCCAACAATAGAAGCTTCAATTGGACAGCCTATGTTTGGTCGTGCCTAACAATAGAGAAAAACAATGCTAGTCGTGCCCTCAGAAATGAGCACGACCTCGTCATAATAATAATAATAGTTGAGGTACGATTTCCAGCATTTGATTGGCTGAAGCTGGAGGAAATCAATCACAAGGTCGTGCCCGTTTCTGAAGGCAAGACTATCTGCACCCTGTATCATTGGGGCCTACTTGTCAATTTTGCAGGCGTTTGTGGATGTTGCTGTGATATCAGGGTGATTTGAATGGTGCATGTAAATGTTCCAGTCCAATAAACCGTTGTAATTTATCAGGAAACTGGTTAACGACTGTAGAGGGATTGTTTCATAGTTATTTTGACTCAGCCTATACGGAATCAATCCAATGGATCTCTTTGGTAGGCGAACAAGTTCTCATTCACCTAAACAGAATCAAGATCTTCAAATGTGCAAGATGCTATCCTATCTAGAAAATGGACAATAATTTGAATATCATCTGGATGTTCAATAATTTGAATATAATCGTGATCAGAATGGAAAATATGGCAGTTTTTCGCTCGGATTTGTACCAGAGAGACGCACACTGAACGGGATAAACTCAATCAATTAATCAATAAAATAATCAATATTTATTTTGACAACAGTATACTTAGGTGTTCAAGACGAAAGTATTATGGACATTTGGGGCAAAACGTACATAAATATCTATTCATTTTACATAAGTTATGAGGTGTTTGATGTATTTTTGGACTAGAATCTTCCCAGTAGAAAGTTCTGAATTTTGAAAGTATTTATAGTAGAAAACCTCTTTGCAAATTAGCTCTACTGGAGTTTTACCCTCCTTAAAGCACGTGAAAGGGAAAAATGAAAAAGCATTGATCAACCTGTTGATGATTTTGTTTATGTTTCTGATGATATGTTTTCAAGCTCAGCCTGGTGATTTTCTGATTTTTTCCCTTGCTTTCCATGTAATTTGGTTGTGTGCAGTTTCCTTGGGTGTGTTTGTCTTAAATAAGCAGGGTGAAATAATCTTTAAGCTATTACACATACCCCTTATTTTTTTGCTCAAGAAACACTGTTGTCTGCAAATAACTCTCAGGCTAATGATTATTCTGTATTAAATTTGTGACCCCAGTCATCTGATCTCAGTATTTCCACCTAGCTGGACACTGAAGAAATTTATTGAACATTCTTCATTTGTGAATGCTGCCCTGTTTATTCAAAAATTGTCATGATCTGTTTTTCAATGATTAATTTAATGCTGCTTTTCAATTGGAGTTTTATTCAAACCTTATAATGGTTATTTCATCTTATGCAACTTTCAAATATTGTCATACATAGTGTAGTTTATCATTATCTCATAAGGCACAACCTTAAATTAAGTATCTAATTGATTGGTGAATCTCTGTGAGTGGTTTGGTTTAGCTTAACAAAGTGGCTACCTACAAATCTTAATGCAACAAACCTGATGAAAAAACAGGTCTCAAGGATTTTAAAGAAAGATTGCCTTCATTCTGCCACTCACTATTTACTGCTTTTTAACTGTGGCTAGATCAATAATGCTGCATCACAGTACTGTCTTCAGCAGATATTCTAATATTTCTGTTTCATCTGTTTCATTTGTCATCTAATTCTTGATACATGTCTTGCACTTCACAGTCAAGTTTGCCTTTAAAGCCAAACTTTTGCCTCTTTTTTAAATTAAATTCTAAATTTTATGTGTGCAAAACAAATAGTGCTTGCAATTATTATACATTTGAAATCTGAGTCCACAGGTGTATATTTTGGTCTCATTGTTGCAATAATTTGATAAAATTTTAGAAAAAGTTTGTTGTTCAAGCTTTATTATCCTGTGAACTGATATTTGAGTAAATAATACCAAAAATAAAAAAAGTTGCCA